ATTTTTTTTGTAAAAAAAAAAACCGAAATTATTTTGCTCAAAATTTAAATTTCCCCTATAAAAAAACAATAAAATTATTCCACATCTGGAAAAATCTAAAACGAAACTTTTTTTATGCTAAAATTTAAATTCCCATAACAAATAATAATTTCATACTAGAAAAAATCTAATAACTGAAACTTATTTATGCTCAAATATTTAAGCTTCCCTATAACAAAACAATCAATTATTCCACATCTGGAAAATCAAAAACTGAACTTTTTTTGTAAATTTAAGCTTCCCTAAACAAAAAAAAACCAAAAATTCTTTTCCGAAACAACAATAATGAAACTTTTTTAGAAAACAATTTTATGCGAATTTTGGATCATAAAATCGAAAAACATGGAGAAGGGAGAAAAAAAAGAAAAATTAAAGATAATTTTAAACATTTCTGATACTGGATCATAAGGGCTGGTAGACTGAAATGGTTGGGGCTTTAAAAGGAAAGAAGCTAACAAAGACAAAATATACAGCAGGGCTATTCAACTGGCTGCCTGAGGTCCAAATCTGGTCCCTGGAGGGCTAGTAAGTGGTCCAAGAATCACTGCCGGTGTTGTATTGTATTAATGATCCATCTATAGCTGATTCTCAAAGATCTGGGCCAAGAAGATCTCTATTTTCAAAATTCTGTCCCCTGAGTAAATTTAGTTGAATAACCCTGATATAAAGGCACTTGAAGTCATTACGTGAGGAAAGAGAAACCAAATCACAGACACGAATGCAAGCGGCTGATATCTGCAGCAATGAACCTCCGGGGCTATGAATGCTGAAGAAGAAGATTTATACTAAATAAATTTGTAAGTAAGAATTTTCTACATGAAAACAGCCAGTTTAAACATATTCACATGACAAACAGCTAAGACTAACCTTGGTCTGTGCCTCAAAGAAGTAGTCACACACTGACTTGTTGATTACACTCTTCCAGTGTTTCTCCAGGAAAATATCTCTGCAGAAATCAAAATAAACATGAGACAGCCACAGACACGCACACACAACAGCCTAGACAGGCATTTATTCATCTGCGTGTGGTGTGTGTGTGTGTGTGTGTGTGGTAGGTAGGTGTTTTACTGGGGGAAAAAATAGTCATGTTCAACCAGCATCCCTGAAGGGGGAGCTTTAGGTTATAATTGTGACTAGGTTATGCGCACCATATAAAATGGCTTAACAATGCTTGCCACCAAGTAGCCGTGAAAAGGACTCTTGCAGTTTTGTTGTGATCAAAGTATACAGACACAAATACTGTCTCAACCGACTACAAAATCGTCTACCAGCAAGCCAAAGGGCGACTCAGTCACCAATGTGCATTTGTGTGTGTAGAAATTTAAGGTATATATACATGGTCTGTATACACAGATAAGAGTCAAAATAAGTGCAGACATAAATATGTGCTCAATGTACACACGTAAGAGTCAGTTCAGATATATAAACAAATATTCAGTGCTAACACACAAGACTCGGCTCTCCTTGCAATAACGGTCGCTAGTTGGATGGCGAAGGCCGCTTAGTCGGAGTTCAGTCCCCTGGCTGCAGTGCAATTACGGAGTGGAAAAGAAGGAACGACACAAATAACATACTTAGGGGTAGGGTTAGGGGTTAGGGTTTGGGTTAGGGTTAGGCTTATGTGAGTCGCAGCGCGTGGTCTAGATGCCATGGTGAACTCACTGTGTTTTATGATTTGTGGCTTGTCCACTCCGTAATTGCACTGCAGCCAGGGGACTGAACTCCGACTAAGCGGCCGTCGCCGTCCAAGTAGCAACCGTTATTGCAAGGAGAACCATACGTATCAGAAGCAGCAGATATTCAGAGATGTGTCCAGTGCACATATACAAGAATCAGAGCAGATCTTCATATGTGCTCAGTGTACAAATATAACAAGTGCTGCATTTACACATACGCTAACTAAGCTGCAGCTTAGGGCCTCACAATATGCAGGGGCCTCAACTAATTCCTTTTTAGTTAACAAATGCAGTTTTTCTTTAACTCTTGAGTCCCAGGGGGTTTTGCATCAGAGGCCCAAGGGATAGTCAAGAGAGACTAAAATGCACTTGAGGCATGGGCCAATAGATGGTGTGTCAGCATCAACACAGACAAATGTAGCACCACACTATTCACCCTCTCCCCAAAGCAAAAAGCCGGCACCATCAAAATAAACGGAATACCCCTGAGAGATGATAAAGAGCCCACATACCTAGGAGTCACATTTGATGAAAGGTTGACATGGAGAAAACATATCAACAAGGCAGCAACCAAAGCCAGGAGGAAGACAGCAATACTAAGAAAACTAAGTGGAACCACATGGGGAGCCGATGGGAAAATACTCAATAAAGTATACAAACATAGCATACTTCCACACTTGGAATATGGGTCAACTGCATGGTGTTCATCATCTAGTACCACATTAAAGGAGTTAGACAAAGTGCAAAATCAAGCACTCATAGTCATCACAGGAGGGATGAAATCAACCTCCATATTAGAAATGGAGAAAGCTGGGAAAACACAGGCACTGAGAGAACGCAGATACAAAGTTGCAAATACAAGCTGAAAAGTTCCTCAGTATGCCAGATCACCCGATGGAAAATAGATTTAAGAACCTAGCCTTGGGACGGTTAAAAAGAAGCAGCTTTATACACCAAGCAAAAAGAATATGTAGACAAACTCCTGACCTTCCAGAAATTGGCTGCCCACTTAAAAGTATTCCGGAACAAACCCCATGGAGAGAAAAATGTAAACTAACGGTACTAATCCAGACAAATGTGAAAGGGATATTTGACAAGAAAGAGCAAGATAGTGTACAACGCAGAATGGCCACCCTCAGTTATATTGATGAAGAATACCCACAAGAACAATGGGTCAGAGTCTATTCAGATGGGTCCGCAGAAAGTGCAGTTATAAATGGTGGCGCTGGAGTGTACATCGAATTCCCAGATGGTACTAGGGATAAGTCCAGCGTACCAACCGGGAAGTACTGCCCTAACTACGATGCAGAAACCCAGGCTATCAAGATAGCTACAGAGAAACTGCTAAATACCAACCTTGGCTCACAGTATGTGGTGGTAATGCTGACAGATGCTAAATCAGTACTTGAAGCACTCCAGTCTAGGAAACTACCAGAATTGCAAACACTGCTGACACAACTCAGCGTTCAACGAAGAGTCGTAATGCAGTGGATACCGTCTCATTGTGGAGTGCCTGGAAATGAGAAAGCTGATCAACTGGCAGGGGAAGGTGCGACAAAAAAGCAGCCGAATGTACCAGTCACATACCAACAAAAGAAAAGAATCATTAAATCGATCAGGAAACCACCAGCCCCAGCACAAGATGGCTATTTTATTATGGACAGACCAGAACAAGTCATTATCCTCCGCCTCAGAACAGGCTACAACCGATTACGTAACCACACGTACACAAAATTCAAGATAGGTGTATCAGCCATGTGCAACTGTGGAAATGTGCCCCAGACAGCAGAGCATGTACTCCAGGACTGCACCGATTTTAGCACACATTAAGGCAAACCTTTTGGCCAGAAAGAACAACAGTGGAACGTAAATTCTATGGACCACTGAATAAACTAACAACGACAGTGAAATTTATACATGAGACAAAACTGCTGATAAAGACAACTTATTTCAGGCGAACGAAAGAAGAAGGATGTGTCTTGCATTCACCGGGCTTCTAGGTAGGAACCAATGAACGTATGATGTGTTAAGAGTTAATAGAGTCTTTAAAAGGATTATATAATTTATGTGATTTTTCAGACCTATTCTTTGTTATTCACTTTACTAAAAATTAAATATAACATATTTCCATCATCCATATGTTTAAAAGGTATATAGATTTTTAAAGTTTTCTGAGATTAGCTAGTAAAATTCATATCAGTAGAGCCTCAGAGCTTAATATTTCTTAGGTTACTCAGGTCTAAAAATGTGGCCCTGCACATAATATACAACACTCCAGTGTACGCATGAAAGTCAGAATCAGTGCAAACATAAATCAAGTGTATACATTCTACTCTTCGACACACATACTCCACAACCAAAATCGGTAAAGCCGGATATACTTATTCAGTTTACACATAGTCGTCACACAAGCATATTCACATATAATAAATAATACAAACAACAGATCGCATCCTCCAAGACTGTCCCTAATACAGCATATTAAGGCAACAGTTTTGGCCAAGAGAAACCCACAGGTGCAAGTCAAACTTTAGGGGTTGCTCAGTGAATTATAAAAGACAGTGAAGTTCATACTAGAGACAACATTGCAGACAACGATAAACATAAATAATCTATAACGATATACATAATGATTATGATAATCTATTAATTTCAAGCGAAGGAAAGAAGTAGCAGAAGATATTTAAAAAAAAAACTTTGAGTAAGTTGAGTGGTTAGATAAAGTAAGTAGGCAAGTTATGTTACTTACTTATTCTAGTATATGTAGTAGTTACTAACTAGACTATTATATTTTAAGTTTTCGTTTGAAGTGGCTTGGAAGTAGGATGAGTACAGTATCATACTGTAAGTATAAAATATTAATTATTATTTATTACTTCCAATCTACTTGAACTTTCCTCAAAGAGGAAGTGCTAAAAAATTACTTCCAGTTCACTAACTTTCACTTACGCTAGTTACGAGTTAAAAGCTTGAATACTTCGTTTTGGAAAACGAAATTACATAATCAATTACCTTGGAAGTATAACAAAGCTCTAAAAGAGACCTACCCTGAGCAGTTGATGACAAACAAGCTGTGTATCATGGTTCACTGTGATGATATGACAACGCCCCCCGTGGTTGGAGATCTGTCACGTGTTTTAAGGGACAGAACTCTGCTTTATCGTGCCGGAAATTTGGGATTACTCCCCGTCTCTATATTGTGATTGAGAATTACCAATCCTACGTCAACACTAAACTCTTTCGGTACCACGCAACCCGTCATACTTTCATTGGCAAATCTAAAGATAGTACATACGTGTGCCTCTTTTCTATAATAGATTATTATTACGTTAACGCATTTCATAAGGATTGTGAATTTCAACCGTTTAGTCCCCTCTCCCCACACACACACACACAGATGCTTAGCAGGCAACCACGTCAATGACCATGGAGACAGCCACTGCTTCTAGAGCACTAGCATGGGCATTAGAGCACACAGGCAGTAATTGTATCAGACTCTATGAACATGCTTCAGAAAATAGCGACAGACTGTATGCGCTCTAAATGGGTAGAAAGCATTAAAAAATCGCACTTAACCTCCATCTCCTGGATCTACACACCTGGTTTTGCGGGCGTAAAGGGTAATAAGCCAACTGGCAAGAATGCACCAAGGCATACGGGAAGAGGCATGGACCGAGCAGATATCGCCAACGCTGTATGGACAGGCCTATTGGATAATGACGAATCTCTGATACTAACACAATTACGTGACATGGGACTAGAGCATGGTGAAGCACGTACATGCCACCTTCGAGGCCGAGATAGGAGACATTATAACCAATTTCTCATGTAAACTATGACTGAAAATACCGTAGAGTGGCTGGTGATCCGGAAGACTGAGCACGCATAGAAATGCCGAATGTGTAGTGACGTCAATTGTGATAACATATCATCAAAGCTATCACAGCTACCCCCCCCCCCCCTCTTTTCCCTCCCCAGACTGCAGTCTGTAAAATTAACATCTCAAGGATGAGAATCTTCTTCTTCTTCTTCTTCTTCTTTTCTTCTTCTTCTTCTTCTTCTTCTTCTTCTTCTTCTTCTTCTTCTTCTTCTTCTTCTTCTTCTTCTTCTTCTTCTTCTTCTTCTTCTTCTTCTTCTTCTTCTTCTTCTTTTTCTTCTATGTTCGCCTTTAAAAGAACTGTTGCTATTACTGTTTTGTAGTTTGCAGAAAGACTGCGATAATTGCACTTTCACACCCAAAACATCGGCTGATGGCAAAGCCGTTTTCCTCTGGATCTGGTCCTGGCTTTATCGTTCAGTTCACGAGTGAAGTTTTTACGGTGATTCCTGGCGATTGTCGCTGGAGCAGTGGAGTTCGTGTTGCTTTGTGCGACATTCTCTCAGAAGGAAGCTAGCTGTTCTGCGGAGAGAGAACGAGTCACATGTGATAAAAATCCGGAAGTCGATTCTCTCAACTTGAACATCCGATTTCAGCAAATCTATAGTGAGGTGTCTTTTTGCGACATTGTTAAGTTGGCAGTGGATCTATTTCCTTTCCCCGCCCAAACCGAGGCCAGGGAACCTGCATTAGGAGGATGAGAATAATCAAACAGGTACAAATCCTGAAAACTCCCTTCGCTGCTTTTCCAATATATCTCTTCCCCCCCCCCCTTTTTTTTTTTTTTTTTGTTGTCAGACAGTCCAATATTTTCGAGGTTGGTAAGAGTGGGTTTCCTGGCTGTCTGATGCTTATAATAACCACAAAACATCTAGAACTAGCCCTAACCCCAACCAACCTACGTCACCACGAAAGAGTGCAGCCTAGGTCCCACGACTGCATGCAGCATAGGTCTTACGACTGCATGCAGCCATCTACACACCCCCCTAAAATATTCGAATGTCTGTTTAGGTAGAGATACTGGGATAGAACCCTTCCTCAAGTCAATACAGTTATGGGTACCTAATTTTTTAGACGACCACATCTCGTCAGCTTGGAAATTTCAGAAGAAATTCCTAAGGAATCCTAGAGATTTCTCTGGACAGTACCATATTATAAGGGGGTAAGTTCTAATGTTAAATGAATAGCTAAGCCTTACGCTTACGCCCCTATTCTATGGAACGTTCTGGAGATTTCCCTATAAAATCTCGAAGCCGACGAGATGTGATCGTTTTAAAAAAGTACCCACTTTTTTTAACATCTGACGGTTATTAGATAACCCGTATTTGTATTTAAGTGGGTGTTCATCTTTTTAACCACTTCTGCTCTATTCTTTTAATATTTTACCTTCTTTTGACTCCAACATTGACTAATTTGAATTAGAACTTTTGAGATGGATGGAGTTAAAGAACCACAGGCTTGTACCGAGATACCTGCCGATCAACGTCATTGTGAAAAGTGGAGACAGATATTTTGGCAGGCTCGCACCATGGCCAAAGTCATGCATTATTCAGATATATTGCCTTCTGTCCCAGCCAGCCACAGCAGTAGTTCCGAACAGGTCTACAGGAATAGACGTTTTGTTAGACGTGACCAGTCTGTTCTCACGATTGTTATCGGGTAAATTTATATACAAATTAAACTACAGTTGAATAAACTTGCAACATATTTTATTGAATGAATTATCATTATGAAGATAAATAAGTGAGCCATTAGAAAATAAAATAATAATATTAAAATATTCAATAAAACATGTTGCAAGTTAATTAGAATGTAGTTTAATTTGTGTATAAATTTACTCAATAACAATGATGAGCACAGACCGGCCGTGGACTGGCCTAACAAAACGGGAATTTCTGTAGACCTGGTCGGCCTTAATGCTGCAGCCGGCCGTGCCTTGTATTATTGTACCACTTCTCGTGTAGCCAACCCATCCATGTGTCTTTTGCTCTTTACCTATCAAGTTAATACACATAATCAGTCATCCCCCTGTAGGGTGCAATTTTTCGTTATTTTGAAGCCCTGGCTTTTGCCAGGGGCCGCAATATAACCCGGCCATAAATATGGTCTAATTGCTGAACGCGGTTTCCGGGACCTCTCCACGGGTGATCATCATCAACATGGTGACACTTTGTGTCATCGGGTGTTTATCGCTTGTGTGATGTCCTGGTGAGTTAAAAGTACTACTACTACTTCTTCTACTACTACTACTATCAAGTTTACCAGTTATCCCCCAGTTTGCACGTCTATTTATTCAAATGATATGCTTAACATAACATGAAGATCTTACAGAGAGATCACAGGTGGTCAGTCAAATAGATATTTTGCCCGGGCTTTGCAGGTGTTTTCTGGAAACAACATGGGGTTCTTGTCAGAGGGCTCACAGGGGCACCACTCGAAGATCTATATTTCTGTCGTCCTCTTTAAGGTGTGCTTCTAAAAAATGTTTGAATTCTCGTACTTGTTTGATTGTATCATCATTAACATGATCATGTTATTACCACTTGAGACCAGGGGTACCACAGTAAGACGTGTTGATTAACCATATCATACTCTGTGCAGGTTTGATGTATCTATCGAGTCATTCGTGATTTTGTAAATTTTGTTATTGGTGGTGAATTCTCGATAATGATCGTCTGAAAAGAATCATCGTTAACATTAATCCATATACGTAATTAGTTTCTGGCCTAGGACACATCCTTGTCTAACGCCTGATGATATGGGGAAGTCTGTCATTCCATCTGTTGTTCCTACTGTGAACTGATTATGTTGATTGTTTGTTTCTTTTAGTATCCAGAAGCCATGAGCTGTTAACCCTTAGGCTCGGTATTATGGATATCGCAACCTTTCGGCCTTGATTCCATTGTAAATACCGTAAATCTGGGAGAGAATATGGCTTTTCTGCCTACCCCCGGGAGTGAACCCGGACCACAAGGAGTTCGTCACCCCGTCACCGCGCAATCCGGTTTAGCCAACTACGCTAGAGAGCCGGGCATTATGTTGATAAAAAAGTCATCATGTTATCTAAGAGATGATCTTGAATACGATAATCTTCTAGAATTTTCAGAACAGTAAGTGAAAAAGGTCAAGCAAGAACACCATGCAGGAAGCCAAAGAACAAGAACCTTTTTTCTTTTTTTGCTCACCGGCTGTAGGTACCGGCGGATAGTCCTGGTTGTCCGTTAATTTGGACGTTGGCTTTGTGCCTGAGTTTTGCGTGTTCACCCGTTTTTCCGGCTTTTTGTGTGTGCAGTTCGCTGTACTTTGCCGCTCTGGCAGATGCACTCCGACTTACTACTTTTTACTAACTGGTTTATTTATTTTTCTTTAGTCTGGTCATGGGTAGGGGCTAGACGCTCGCTTGCGGATCCCAAGGTCGTGGGTTCAGATCCTGAGAGAGTTGGACTTTTTTCACACATCGACTTGGTGGTTGTCAGGTCGACCATAGCCTTGGATATAAACTATGTAAATTATGGACTCTACTCTTTGATCCTCGCAGCGTCAGGCCAGGAGAGACCTATTGGAACTGACCCTTTGCTCGATTCGTATAAAGTACTTTGTGCGCCGCTGGCACCCCGGGGAGTCTATCTTCTCTGGTCGAACTCTGGCTCAGTTACCCTGTATCTGTATAACACCCGAAAGTTGAAACCAGTTTGCTGGGCAATTAGAAGTGCAGATGACATCCTTTACACAAGTTACACGTAGGCAAACTATCTCAAATATATACCGCACCCTATTTTGCATCAACGATTTTCGGTTAACATACTGTGTACTAAACAGGCGTAAATACGATAGGTTCTGCAAGATAAAACGAACTAAAAAAAGTTTCTTAGAATTTTTTTGAAATATCCAAATGGAAACCCTTGACAAATCAGTGTGCGGGGCCCTTTATGATAACCACTTTCGTTAGTAATGTACCAGGACACAGCTGCTATTACTGGGAGAGATTTATGTTATCCCCACACACATAGCTACTAGTACTGAAACAGATTTATGTATCAACACACATTGTTGTTAGTACTGGAACAGATTTATGTATCACAACACATTGTTGTTAGTACTGGAACAGATTATGTATCACAACACATTATTGTTAGTACTGGAACAGATTTATGTATCAAAACACATTGTTGTTAGTACTGGAACATACATATGTATGTATCAAC